ACAGCTAGAATGGATGGATAAAAGAGAAGATTGTTTAGCCTGTCTTTCCCTCCAAAAATCCGCCATTTTACCACCACTTTGGGTGCGCGTTAATTAGAATCATTTCGGTGCATAAGGTCCATTGAACTGATATATTCCTGGTGGTGTTGGACAATATAAGTTTAATAAATCAACAAGGAAGTCGCATAAATTGATTTTCTCATCAACAAAAGTAATATTAAAGTAATTTTTGAAAGTATGTGTTACTGTGACATGCAGTATACCCCACTGTATGATTTCCTCTAAAAAAGAGTGACATGTACTAGTGAATATATAACTTACTTATATGTAAAGTTCCTTGGATGATACGCCTTTCCACGAGTCACTGGATTTGGAGTTAATGATGCATTAGTGAATTCAGCAAATTTCTTGGTAGCAGCTTAAATTAATAGAATAAATCAATAGTGTATTACTGAACTTACAACAATCTGTGACTTTTGTAGGTTCTTGTTGTTGATAGTATATATAATTGAAACAGGTATATTATCCATTAGTATAGTAGTCAGTATCTTACCATTGTAGTAATTGTTAGTAGATCCAGTCAATGTAGATACTACTAGTACAACTGATAGAAGTAACAGTTTATACTCTACTAGTCTACTCATCTTTTCTATGTATCTGCATAGCTTAACTTGTTTTTGCATGTGATATTTATTGGTTATTGTTATCATTACCACATTAATGTTTGTCACTATTGCTTTGTTATGTTATTCTAACTATAAATTGTAGAATTCCTTTAGTACCCTCTGTACTTTTTTATGTACAACTGCATACAAGAAATTAAATTATATTGACATTTATTAGTTTCATATTAACTCTGTATCATTTGTTTGCTATTTTTAATTCTGAATTGTAGTAACATAATTGATAAGAAGTTTGCAGCTTCAATTTAGTTGACAAAAATTTCTTTGATTTCACAAAACAACTCGTCATCTTTCTCATTGTGAGCTGTAGCTTTAACATGATACTGACCCTAGAAATATTTTTAGTATTTTTATGCTGTGAATGATTGCGTTGTATTCACTTACAGTCCAAAGTAGCTTTGGTATTTTAGCAATATAATGTATATGATATATTCCTGGTTGTATTGGACAGTGCTTTTTAGCTAAGTCGTAAAAGAAGTCACATAAGTTCAATTTCACATCAATAAATGTAATATTGATATAATTCTTGAAAGCATGAGCCAGTAAGAAATGCAGTTCACCCCATGTTAAGGTTTCCTCTATTGATGGATTTATGTTTATTGACACACTTTTTGTTACTTACTTATGTGTACCTGTGCTTGCCAATAGAATTCTTCACCTCGTGTCAGTGGATTTGGAGTTAATGATTCATTAGTGAGTTTACCAAATTTGGTAGTAACAGCTTAAAATTGATAAAATAATTAATAGTGTAGTACTCGACTTACGACAATCTGTGAATCCTTTATTACCAGTAGGTCCTTGTTGTTGATAGCATATATAATTGAAACAAGTATATTATCCATTAGTATAGTAGTCAGTATCTTACCATTGTAGTAATTGTTAGTAGATCCAGTCAATGTAGATACTACTAGTACAACTGATAGAAGTAACAGTATATACTCTACTAGTCTACCCATCTTCTCTTCGACGTGATTTATGATTTTTGTAGCTACACTTATTAATATATGCTAGGTACATCATAACTTGTTTAACTTTTTGTATTAATTAAAAATTTGATTTTATTTTCATACTTTCAGTTTTTGACAATTTATACTAAACTATTATACCTCCGATATATTTATTTCCTTTTCTTAAAACTAATATTTTTACTATACAGGTTGCTTGTGTAAACCAGCCTATCAAAAACATAAACGTCAACACGTTTACATGTTATGTTTTTGTTACCGCTACGTGTAACTTGTTGGCTTACATGTATTTTCCCTATGCTACTTATAGTGTCAATGTTATACTATATAAATAGTGTTTTTGAGGGAATTGTAATATTTCCTAAAATCTACTAAATTTCCAATTTGCAGATTTTAATTTCACAAATTCTACCACGTGCCATGTGGGTATCATATTAGATTGATTTTTGCGAATTAGGAAAGAATCTGTAAAATCTGCAAAATTTACAACCCTCAAAAAATACTACTTATAAAGTACCCAATCAAATTTGACAATTATTGTAGTACATGTACATATACATTCATTATAGTGGTTATGACACATGCAGTCTAATTAATGTTTGATTTGTGTTTTGCTCTATACAGTACATGTTGATGATTACCAGTTGCATTGACAGTATATTCTCATTGTAGGTTGAGGAGGAAGAGATGTTAGTGGCTGAGCTCAAAAAGATTGAGTTGAGGAAGAAGGAGAGAGAAAAGAAGCAGCAAGACCTACAGAAGCTAATCACTGCAGCAGAACAGAATGTTGAAAGGTAAAGATTTAAAGTCATTTTATTTAATTGAATATTGAATTTTTTGTGTAAATTCTCTAGTTTATACAATGTAACTCAATACTGCATGCCACTTACATGTATACTGCCATTATTGTGTAGGGGCATTTTATTCTGACCTTGTATACATTATGAATCATAAACAATTTACATACACGTACATGTACATGTGTATGATGTAGTACATGATAGCTGGTGTCATAAATGATAACCTTAAGGCTTATTTTAGTACCCAAGGGCTATAAATTTTACAAATTTGCCTAAAAGTCTGTTTTGAGGATTTAATTTTTGTGAATTTATGCCGTCTGCCATCTAGTACCATAATAATTTGATTGTCGCCGAGTAATTTTTGCAAATCTTTAAAAATTGCAAAATTTACAACCCTCAAAAAATTTTGCACTATACGGTATTTTACCTCAAAGGCTATAGCTATTGTGCTATGTATATTATAGCTGTGATGAACTATTGTGTTATCATTATCCTGTATTCATTATTGTCTATAGTCGAAAGACTCAGAAGAGATCAAACCCAAAGAAGACCAAGTCAGGAGGTGGAGGGATGGGCAGTAGCGTATCTACTCCTAAACTGCCTTCTGAAGCAGCTCTCGTGTTTAAAACGTACGATAAATCAAGTGGTGCCTCCTTGAGGAGCAGTAAAATAAAGTTTCCTCTTACTTTGGGACAGAAGAAGACGAAAACTATTGAGCAAGTGCTAGAAGAACTATCAGTTGGTTAGTGAATGAATTAATAATATGCAGTGTATAAATTTACATACTGTTGGGCTTATTGATTTAATGATAAGTGTTGTTGGTAGTAATTTGTCACTACTGTCTTGAAAGACCCACATAGAATCAGTGTAGCCAGTTGGGTTTTTTAATACCAGGGCTTTGGCATGCAAAATACACCAAAAATGTCACAATGATATTTTGTGATGAGTGTGGCTAAATTAAACTGACTAAAATGGTTGTAAAGGATTCACTGTTAGATCTTAATGCTATTACTAGATAATCAAGATGTCTTTTTTTCTTGTACAGCAATGCCCTTTAGTCCATGGTGACAGTTAATAAATGAATTTTAATATTTAATAAAATATTTAATAAATTAATTTGACCTGAAATTTCTGATACTCGAAAAAGCCACTGCAAATTCTATGTACATGTACATTGTATTATGTACTTTTGTATTATTCGTTTATCACTTTCTTTCATTTAGAATTACGTCCAATGCCAACTGAGCAAGTATGTCTACAATTCAATGAATTAAGGTACACGAGGGATTTATTCAATGTTAATTAGTTTCATTGCTATTATTGTGATTTTATTTAGGAACGATATTTTGCTGTTATTGGAGCTAAAAGCTGCATCAGATGTGTGTGACTTTGAATTACAATCACTTAAGTAAGGGACATGAAATATGTGCATGTCTGTGTGTATGCATAGTTTGCTAATTAAAATTGTAAAAATAAATTTTGTCAAATTTTTAGGGGGTCTTGCCATTAGTTATCAATGGAATTGTAATTTAAATTAGTACAAAACTTTGCAAGGAGAGATTTCTCATTTACATGTAGTTGCTCAAAAATGGGGCCAAAGTCACTGTACTAAGTAGTACAAGGACTTTGACTATATTTCACCAAAAATGACTAGGAGAGAATTTTCCATTTTTATAATTTTTCTGATGCATATACATGTTCTCATGTTGCATAAAAATGTTAATCAAAATTGGATTTTTATGATTTTAATGTTGCTTCTAATGCCATATACAATGTACTTATGCTACAATTGTAGTGCTTGTCAGCTCATGAAGTAATTAACCCTCTCTTTGTTCTTCAGACACAGAGATGAAGCATTACCTTTTGAGAGACAACTAAAGACTCCTTCAGGTACACAATGATATATATATCAGTGACATTATATTGTTATTATTTATTATAGTCGACAGTGGCACACCATCTCAAAAGAAAGTTAGTTGTTAGTTGTTTTAATAGTTCATGTAATTATTTATTTTTAAAAACTTTGAGCCCAAGTTTTTTTCCAAAAATTGGCTCCAAAAGCACCCCCAATTTTTATTCCATTTTTTGATACATACTGATGTATTTATGCTGTGTAGAAAGTTTGATCAGATTCCGACTTTAATTTTTTGAGTTATGACCATTTTCAAAAATTCCAAATTTCTGAAAAGTACCCAAGGCTATAGCCCATGGTTTTTTCCAAAAATCGGCTCCGAAATCACCCCCAAATTTTATTACATTTTCTGATACATATTGATGTACTTATGCTGTGTAGAAAGTTTGATCAGATTCCAACTTCAATTTTTTGAGTTATGACCATTTTTAAAAATTCCAAATTTCTGAATAATATCCAAGGCTATAGCCCATGGTTTTTCCGAAAAATTGGCTCTGAAATTACCCCCAAATTTTATTACATTTTCTGATATGTATTGATGTACTTATGCTACATAGAAAGTTTGAGCAGATTCCGACTTCAATTTTTTGAGTTATGACCATTTTTTAAAATTGGCCAATTTCTGAAAAATACCCAAGGCTTATAGCCCATGGTTTTTCCAAAAATTGGCTCCAAAATAACCCTCAATTTTTATTACATTTTTTGATACACATTAATGTACTTATGCTGTGTAGAAAGTTTGAGCTAATTCCGACTTCAATTATTTGCCATTTTTTAAAAACTCTAAATACCCAAGGCTATTATATAGCCCATGGTTTTTCCCAAAAATTGGCTCCAAAATTATCCTTAATTTTTATTACAGTTTCGGATGCATATATGTGCGTAGAATGTTTGACCAGATTATGGCTCCCAATTTATTAAGCTATGGCCATTTTTTTAATGAGCTGATTTCTAAAAAAATCCCATGGTTTTTCCCATAAATCAGCTCTGAAATCACCCTCAACTTTTATTACATTTGATACATATCGATGTGCTTATGCTGTGTAGAAAGTTTGAGCAGATTCTAATTTAAAATTAAATTTGTCAAGTTATGGAAATAGGCCGGTTTCAAATACCATAGTTTATATTAGCCCAGCATTTTTTTCTCAAAAGTTGGCTCCAAAATCAGTCCCAATTTTTATTACATTTTTGATACATATTGATGTTTGTTGTTTTAGTATTAGTGTTTTAGTGAATGGATTGTTGTCATTATTCATTATAATAGTTTGTAATAGTGGAGCACTTAAATTTCTTGCCATTAGTTTTAGTAGTAATAGTAGTGTCAAAATATTTATCAGAAACACTAAATTGTATGTATTGTATTTTTGTTTTGGTATTCATTCTTTTTTCTTTTCTATGTATTTTTCATTCATGCATGCACAAATTCCTGTCTGATTTCAAATCCTCAGTCAAGTTTACAGTTCATGGAGGTTGTTAGTCAAGCTGCTCAAGGGGTAGGCATATTATTTATGTTATTTCTCAAAATGAAATAATTTCTTTGTAGCGAAAGAGAAGAACAACAGTACTTGAGTCTGCTCTTAAGAAAAGAAAAGTGTGACTTTCTCATTTTTTAATTCTAGCATAGTAAAAATGTAAATGATTGCAGGTGACTAGAAATTGCATGATTATAATAATTGGTATTGTTTTTGTGATTATTTTTAAGGTTACTTGCTGATGCAGCGCTAGCTTTTTAATAGTCATTCTGTTGTATGATTGCTATTTACTTCAGTTCCTAATAATTTAATAAATGGAATAATTTTATAATAATCTAATAATTTAATAAATGTCTGTGAATGGTTCACAGACATGTTTATCTAATTCCATTGCCATTCATGTGCAAACCATTGTAGGAAGGTGTTAATTCATTTGGCATCATGGTGTGCCATAAGCTTTAATTGGCCTCGCCCAGCTTTGCGTAGGCGAGGACTAGGTACTCAGTTTGTCTGTCTGTCATTCATTCATTCTGTGTGCTATCTTTTGTCTTTGAGAATGTATATCTTTACAATCGCGTGCTCTAAATCTGTGAGAGTTTCTCTTCTGTTAGTAAAAGTCTTGCTTTACTGCCTCTAGATATTTAGAGAGCAGCTCTAGGTAGTACAAGCTTTTTAACTCATGAGAAAATGCCCAGCAATAGCGGTAGTACTCTGGAGGTAAATGAGACTCTCTCCCAGTAGATCAAGACTGTTTATACATTTAATATGTATAGAACTCTTTAAATCTTTCTTGTTGGTGAGTTATAGCTACTCGAATTTCATCCCGAGTGAAGTGCTGTAGCAGCATTTCGCTAGTATTAGGATCCCAAACTCTGTTAAGTTACTCAATCTATCTATAGGCAACAATATTTGTGCCATTATAACATTATGCTAGTCTTTAGAAGAAGAGAAAAGCCTGAAGCTTGCTTCTCACATGGTCTTGCTGCACCTAGCTAGGTGCTTCACAATTAATATTTAACAATTAATATTTAATAATGTAATGCCACACCTCCAAGCAGCGAGTAGGTGAAAATCCATGATGCTATTTTTTCAGTGTCACTTAGTTTGATAAATTTATAGAGCCTGACACCTCCCAAACAACTATAGTTCATTCATTCTGTGTGCTGTTTTTTGTTTTTAGGATGTGTATCTTCAGAACAGTGCTCTCTAGATCGGTGGTGAGACCTTTTTCTTCACTTGGTTAGAGAGCAGTGCTACATACAAGAAGCTCTCAAACTCGTGAGAAAATGCCAAGCAATAATGACATTACTGTAGAGGTAAGCAAGACTTTTTCAAATAGATTGAAACTATTCCTTCATATAATGTGTAGGATCCATAAAATTGCACTTCTTGTCAAGTTACAACATAAAAGGTCTATGGTTTTAACAGCTTCAATCTGAACTACAATGACTTAAATTTATTATTATTATTGTTGTTGTTGTTATTATCATCATCATCACCATTATTATTATTATTATTATTATTATTTATTATCATTATTCATTCCCCCAGCCCCACATCAGATCTAGTAAGCTCAAGACACAGACACTCATTGTTTGTGTCATTTTAAGAACATTATTATAATTATAATTATTGCTTATACTACAAGTTTTGTAAATATTCTTGATATTACATGTATTTCTCCATGGAGAAGAAAGGCACACCTCCATGCTCCTCCTTCATATTATCATTTACTGAGCTTTATTCCTCGAGTTTTCAGTAAGGCTTTCCAATTATGATATTATTATTATGAATTATTTCAGGAAATAAAGATAACTGAAGTTTTTGCCTGGTCAGGCTACCAATATTATTATTATAATAAGTCTGCCCAGTGAGTTAGTCTTTATTAGTAACTTGACCATTTTTGACATTGTGTTTATAGGATATTTTACTGAGCCTCAATTTCTCGCTGGTTCAGTGTTCATCTTTTTCTTGTCTCCTTTTCAGTAAGGCTTCCTCACAATATGATTAGGAATCATTATTTTTGTAATCAGACAGTAATCAAACAATTCAAGTTACCTGCCACTACAGCCTCAGTGCACAGTTAGTTTGGTCTTCATCAGGAAATATATCATGATCAGCATAGAGGCCTGGCGTGCATCTATAGGATCATTCAAGAGCAACAGGTATGGGGTTTCTTTGAAAGGAATAATACAGGTGAAACACAATACCATAAATAAAATTAATCTTTTAATTGTGATGGTTTTTGTATTTCCCTGTATTATTATTATTCTGTGTTTACTTGGGCTTCTAATGAATGCATTCCATGTAAAACACTTTGCCCTGTCTAATTGTAGGCATGACTTCAAGTTTTGTTGTGTTTTGTTTATGCTGCTTTGTTTTTTTCCTTTTTTAAATCTCATTCTCCTTTGTGGAGATATAGAGACAAACCCAGGGCCAACTAAAAGTTGCCCAAAGTGTCTTATGTTAGTGCATATTCGGAAAATAGTTTGTAGCCATTGTGGATATATTTTTGCTAAGGGCAAGGGTTCTTGTGCTTCCATTAACAGTGCTAAAACAGTGACAGAGAAGACAACTGTGCATGTAGAACAAAAAAATATCGAAAAAAGGAAACAAAATAAAGAAAGAAATGCTGCAAGAAGAGCACTGTTGACTACCGAAGAAAAACAACTTTATCGAGAAGCGGATAGATTAGCAAAATTACAGAAAAAAAATGAAGAAACAGCTGAACAGGCATTAGAAAGACAAACCAGGAATCTAAGATGCAAAACAAATAAAAAAGCTCTTGAAACAGAAGAGCAAGCATTAAAAAGAAAAAGCTTAAATTTAAAAAGCCAAAAAAAGAGAGTTGCTTTTGAGAGTGAAGAAGCTTCTGTTGAGAGAAAGGAGAAAAATAAAAATTCCGCTTCTAAACGTCGAAAATTAGAGACCAACGAACAAACAGCAACAC